TCTGACTCATGGGGAAGTCACAGTACCTAAGCAGGAAAAAAAAAAAAAAAAAAAAAAAGCAAAAACTGGCCTAGAAATCCCAGCACACTTTTACCTATAGCTCATGGACACATGGCTGCCCCTAGCTGCAAGGAAGGCTGGGAAATCAGGGAATGATTGTTGTGGTTGGCTTAGATAAATACAATCCACCACTGTGGCTAAGCACACTGCTGCCCTCAACAACACTGGCGTTCCATTAGCAAGAAAGAAAGGGGTATTGAGGATGAGCAAGCAACAAACAGGGTCTGCCAGCACCATCTTGCTCAGCAAAATGGAAGCACCTAAGGTACCCTGACTACCCCATGCCTCTCCCATCTGCCCGGCAAATCTTGTCTTACCTACCACAGTTTCCGTGAGGCTTCCCTCACTCCCTCAGGCAGACCTGGTATTCTTCCTTCTGCCTCCTCCTATACATGTACCTACTTCCGTCACAGGTATATAACTGTCTTTATAGCGACTGACATAATGTAATTGCTCATTCAATTACACAAGCATTTGTTCTCTCCACAGATGCTTATTGAGCACTGGCCCTATGCAGACACTGTTCTGGGAGTCAGGGATTCAATAGTGAACAAGTTCGATTTTTAGATTTGGTCCCTGCCTTGATGGAGCTTTCAGTCTAAAAGGTGAGATATTCAGACAGTTAAGGTTTGGGGAGAAAAGCAGCCCATCTCCCAGACCATAACCCACTGCATAGCAGGGCCAATCTCTCTGCCTAACTCCCGGGCCCTAGCACACTATCTCACACAAAGTAGATGCCCTATGACCATGTGTTAGATGCACTCTTTACTCAGGAAGGCTTTGAAATGTATTTTAAATGAAATGCATTTCTTATTTCTACCAGGAAACTCCCCAAGACTAAGCCACTGTACTCTCACAGTATTAAATCAGGCACTCAAGCATCCTGAAAAACATTTTGCTCTCACCCCACATTGTTGCAGGTCCCTTCTCCCAGGAAAGGTTCCAAGAATGTCTAATATAACATTTCACATCAGAGGTCCTCAGAAGATGTGTGTTTTTTGCTGAAGGCTTCGTTTGGATTTTCTAAACAGGGCTACCTCATTGTCAGGGCTAGAGCTACTGAAGTGCGATTCTGAAAGCACTTAAAATAAGACCTCAGGTTCCTGTTCTGTAACTTATTATGTGTAATTTTAATAGTTCTAAACTAAACACCCTGTTTTGTTGCCCTTTCTACCATTGCAGGTGATGGCAGCTGGGAACAAGACAGGCAGAGACAAGAGAAACAAAAATAATACAGCCCCTGCTTTGGGCTGTGCTTCTGTTGCCATGGTGATGTTGACACGTGACACACAGGTGAGAGGTCCTTTATACAGTGGAGCCAGTGGGTTGCGGAGGCCAGAGAGGTGGGACATACACATGCAAGACTTCCACGCCTCCTGGGCCTGGAAAGGACTTCATAAGGCCAACTACTCCACTACCCTGCCTCTTAGCTGAAAATCAAATGGATGGGCAGCTTGTTCCTAAAAATCCTCAAGAACAAAGTCCACCACCTCTCTGAGTCACCTGTTAGGCTCATATTTCACAATATTTATGACCCTGAATAGGTTTTCTATGTCTAATCTCATTCTCTCTTGCTGTCCTTCCAGCCCAATTCCTCTTATTATTGCCTCTTTGGAAATAAAAGTTAATCATCACCTGTACACTCTGTACAGTAACCCAGGAGGTAAGATAAAGAAAAAACAAACCCACAGCTGAAGTATGGACTCTGTTCGTTTCAGCACCACCACCACCAGGTGTGGTCCTCTCAGGGTCCCCACTCCTGTTCTTTCATCTGGCCTTGGCTCTGGGACGGAGTGGCCTGGAAGGGCAGGGAGCACACAGTATTGAGGAACATGTGGAAACAGCCTGCTGACCCAGCTGAGAGGCCCACGGGCTGCCACGGACAGAGAAACAGGCCTGCTGTCTACCAGGTCACAGTAGGGGCAGAGCAGCCCTCCCATGAAGGATGTCTTCCTCTCTTGAGTGAAACAACGCACAGAGAGCAGCAAGGTCTGTTTTTAATGAGTATTTTTAAAAGCTTTGCAACAACAGACAGAGCCCAAGGAAGCTTGGAAACCCACAGTGATGGCAGCAGGGCTCTCTTGCTTCCAGATGACCCTGCAAAACAGAAATGGTTCTGCTCAATCAGGAGTGTGGCTTTCCTCACCCCACATTTAAAAAAAAAAAAATCCCAACCTTCAGAATCATTTCAGAAGTCATCCTGCCTGAAAAACGTGTGATGGCCCTAATGGCATAGCCTGGTCTGAAGGTGAGGGGAGCAGGAAAGCGCCCAATTCCAGATGCAACAAGGGAACTGCTCCCACCCTTTCCAGAAGCAATGGGAAGCCCCCCTCTGCTCCCATCACCAGGGACATAAGGAAAGGCCATCTGCAGGCGTGCTCTGGAATTCTGCAGTTGGAGAGAAAGGTCTTGATGCTAACGGGTCCCACCCCCACATCCCTGTCACTGTCTTTGCCCCCAACTACTCCGCTTCCATTCTCTTAATCCATTGCACTAGATTAAGAAGACAGATGTCTCTTCCTGCCACAGACATGCTAGACGAACGCTGGGTCTTTCTTCACAGTCCTTAATTCCCCAAAATAGTGTCAAGAAAACTAAACACTTGCATGAAACTTCTCTTCAACTCCTCCCTCTGGTTTCTTTCCCACCCTGGGCCGAGAAGCCAGCACTTATTTCACAAGAGGAGAGAAGCCTCTGTCTGTAAGTGAGGTTAACACCCACCCCAAGGCTGGATTCTTTCTGGTCTCTCTCAACAGCTGAGCATCATGATTTTGCTAATTAAGCCGCTTTCTTCTCCTTAATTAGCTGCATGTGAATCTTGTTGGGAAGTCTTGGATCTGTGAAATGGTCTGGGATAAGAATCAAAAAGAAGAAATCATCTAAACCCAAGGGAAAAAGACTGGGAGGGAGACAGCTTATTCTGCTAAAAAGTTAAGATGGCTCAGCAGGACTGTTACTGGTGGCCCTGCTTTACAACGTAATATGAGATGTCACAGCAAATCCTGTGGTCACTGTCCTCAGGCCAAGCAGTTCTGACCTGCCAGCTCAAGCGTTCCCAGGAAGGGCTTACACAGGATGGCTCCTGTCCCCTCCGCCCTGCCCTGCCATTCGCCACCTTGCTGACGCACAGGAAGCCATCAGAGGGCTGAGGGAGTCTCTGGGTTTTCTGCTCCTGGCCCATCTTGGGCCCCAAATAAATGCCAAGTGTTATTCTTGTCTCAACACGGCTTGCCAGCTCCTGTCTCTGAGATATCACGCCCTCTCTGAGAATATCGTCTCAGAGGAGAGCCAGGCTCTCGCAGGATGACGACAGAAGAGGCTTTTATACACCCAGCATAATGTGAATCAGAGGCAGCATCTGCTGTGGCAGCAAAGACATACTTAGATTCAGTTAGAAACAGTTTGAGGCCGTAACCAACTCCCAGGGCTAACAGGACCCAAGAAATCATCCAACCCAGCCCCATCCCTCTAAATACCATTGACCCTAAGCCATCTGGGGGCAGCAGAGCCCATTAGAATCACCTTGGGAGCCCTTAAAACTGTGAATGCCGGGCCCCACCCCAGACTAATTAAATAAAAACCTCTGGGGGTAGGCCTGGGCATCGGTATTTTTAAAAGCTCCCCAGGTGATTCTAATGTGCAGCCAGGGTTGAGAACCCTGCTTTAAGATTTGCAGGGAAAGAGCTGCCAGTACGTTCCTTTGGGAATCTCAAAATTTTTAACAATTCTCACCATGAGGAAGTTCTGACTCATTTCTTATCTGTCCTCATCTTGAGGAAATGACAGTGGAGGAAAGAGCCTTCTGAAAAAAGCTCCCTTGGGGGACATCAAGTGAAGAAGTACCCCAAACTGCAGGAAGACTCCTGGGCTTGACCCGGTCTACACTCCCAATAATACTCCTTGTGCGGGTGTACCAAACACCCAGAACAGACACTGCCTTACTCACCTGCAGCAAATTCTTGGACGTTGTCTGGTCTTTTCAAAAACATTTCTCTGGAAAAATTAAGGTATAAGGGTCAGAGGGAGAGGGGCTTTAAGGCAGGCTGTGCTACAGCTGCTGGTCCTGCGCTTTCAGGGAGCAGACTGACCCTAGACACGCCCGTCTTGGGAGTCAGAAAGCCAGAGGGCTCCTGACAAACACCCTTTCATTCCTGATTTTCCTTCAAGTCAGGATCTGAGACAAGAAACAAAACATTTTACATGGCGATAAGCCCTGGTATTGCTCACCTCACAAGACAGCTGTGGTGCAGCCAGGTGAAGCCTGTCATGCATTCAACAAACATTTCCACAGAACCAGAGACCGGGGCAGGCGGCAAAGATGAAGAGCATGCTACCCAGTCCTGAGGGCTCACGAGTGGTGGGACAGATCTGCAACCCCACAACCCTCTGAGCAAGTTTAACCATGAATTCCCACAGGGGTGGGGGGGAATACAACAAACAAAGCTGAGAAGATGGACTTACGACAGTTGTTGGCCCTGCAGTACAGTGGACACTGTGCTAACACCCGCAATGCTGGTGCCACTGGGGAGCTGAAGATGCCGTATGTCACACAGTTTTATGGTTCATAAAGTATGTTCACAAGTATCTCACTTTACAACAACCCTGTGAAACAGTAATGATTGTGCCCCATTTTACATATGAAGAAACCAAGCCTTCAAAAGGTTAATCATTTGTCCAAGTTCATAAAAGTAAATAAAGGAGAGAGGGCCCAGGTCTGGTGGTTCCAAGGCCAGTGCTCTCGACAACACGCCCTCTCGGCCATGGCTGCCCTGCCCCACCAGCCTAGAAGGCCTCAACTGCCCAGGAAGGCCCTGCCTGCCAAGCGTCCAGAATTTTGCTTCCCTTTTCCTCTTTCAATTCAATTTGATAATTATTGAGCATAAATTATGTGTAACAGTACTATATGAGGGATTGATTAAAAAAAAAGATAAAATATAGCCCTACCTCAAAGAAGTTCCAGTCCAGTAAAAGGGAATGAGTAAGTTCCCAAATGTCCAAAAGGCCAAGGAGCCTCCAGGAAGTGCTACAAGAAGGGTATTCAATAGTGTGCCGGGAGGCCAGAGGCGAGAGAAAGGTTACTGAGAGCAGGACCCCAAAAATCCTCACATAGCAGCTGGCATTTGAGAGGACCCTTGAGGTGCACACGGGATTTCAGTTGGCAGGACAAGGGCTGAGGGACAGGAGCGTTCCAGACCCAGGGAAGCTGCAAGAGCAAAGGCCCGGAAATGAAAAGAAACAGCCCACGTTCCATAGACGGTGAACTCCTCGAGGGTACGAACTGGGTCGCATCCACCTTTGTATCCCCAGGGTCCAGAAGAACACTCACCGAGTGTCAGTGCCCCTCCACGAGGTTGGTGGAATGACAAAGAGGTTCGGTCTGGTGGAGTAGGGGTGTATGCAGGGAGCAGTGGGAAGTGAAGGAGGCTCTATTATGGAGGGCCTTGATGGCCAGGGAGAGATGTTGACACTCAATTCAAAAGACAACGGGAATGGATAAATAAAGCATAGTATAGTCTCACAGTGGAATACCACACAGCAAAGAGAATGGAGGATCTACGGATACTGTTGAGCAAAAGAAGCCAAGACCATAGAGTACATATTGTAGTATTCCAATTATATAAAGTACAAAAAAGGCAAAACAAATCTGTGCTGTGAGAAGTCAGGACACTGGCTACCTTTTAGGGGGAAGTGACTAGAAGGGCCACAAAGGGTCTGAGGTGCCAATCACGTTCTATTTCTTGATCTGGACACTAGTACCAAATATGTTCTCAGCTTGTGTAAGTTCATCCAGTTTAGGATATGCCACTTTTCTGTACTTTATATTTCAATAGAATGGTTTTTTTTGTTTTTAAAAAAGGCAATGTTGCAAAGCCACTGAAGATTTTTCCAGCCAAGGAATGATATAATGAGTGTTGTATTTTAGGAAGATTCATCTGCCTTTTTTTTTTTTTTTGATGTTTACAAAAACATCAAATAAAGCCTTTCTACAATTTCACACTTTGCTATTATATCTCCAGCCTAAAACCTGAGATCTCTGGGTGCCTATAATAAGTTCGATTCCTACTCTTCCTATTTTTCAGGTCCAAAATTCAAGGTATTAGGAGTTCTGTACACTATATATATGAGTATAGACTAGAGACCTGTGGCTGAATGGCCATAAATCATTAGAATCTGGAAAACCCGAGTGGGGAGCTCCCTTCCCAACAAAACCTGTTCAGAGCTTCTCATGGCTTACAGCGAGTCTAGAGCAGAGACCTGCGCAACAGGTGAGGACAGGCATGCTGCCCTGGCTTTCGTCTACTCTTCTCCCTTCCTCTTTTTCACAGGAAGGACCATCTGAAGCATCCAGTACAGATGAGGGGTTGATTCTGTTTCATCCTGGTACCACCCAAAGGAAATAACAATAACACCAAACAAACAAACAAAAGGAAACCCTCAAACTCCAAACACTTCCTCTCCCCCTCCTCCCTCCCCCCCAGAAAGAGAAAGGCCTAGAAGAGGCCAGGAGGATTTCATGTAAAGTAGCTTCAGGGACAGCAAAAGGAAAAGCCTGGTGGCCTACCTGGGGAGGGGGATGATAAGGAAGGAAAGGGAAGATGCCTGAGGCTGTCCCTGCAGCGGACAGGTGCAGACACCCAGCTCCTCCTGGAAACTGTTCCTGGACCAAGCAGTGGGGCCATCCCTGACATGTAACTAAAACTGCAGCCCTCTTCATTCACCACCCCCAAGGGTTCTAATCCTTCTGTTTGTGAACAATGCAAATGGTGATTTAAGTCAAGCTTTTAACATCTATCTCTAATCTCCCTGCTGGAATCATTCAGAACTTGGATTGGAAGTTCCCCAGGATAGGCACAACGTCATCCTTTATTTCCCTTTAGAAGAAAAGGTATAAAAGGTGATGGCTTGATCCCCAGGGCAGACACTGACAGAGGACCCCTAAACTATCTTTTGCCCAAGCCTTACCCTGACCCAAATAAAACTAGCCTTCACAGATAGGTTTCGTTTTCCGTTTCTCCTTCCCCTGTCTGCCCTCTGAGAATCTGCTGCCACTTGGAGAAATGGCTAAAATATGAAGAACAGTGAGCTCCAGTAAAAACAAATGGGCCTGCGAAAAAAGACACCTCTCCAGGTCTACCTTTGAGAAGACAAAGGAGAGCCCCACTTCTGCCTCCCTAGCTCCTATGGGCTTACAATGCAACACAGTGGAAAAACCAGGGATTTGGATCCGGGTTCAGCAACTTGGGGAAGGTAACTCACCTCTTGGCCTGTAAAATGGAGGTAATAAAAAGCTATCTTTTGTAGAGTTGCTAGGAGGATCAGCAAAAGGGTACCAAGATGCCACATACTGTGTAGGCACTGGGGACACAAACATGGCTCCACCAGCTTGGAGCTTTGGTCCAGGGAGAGAAACAGAAGATGGACAATGCAATTACAATAGTGTGATAACTGCTCTCGTGGGACACCCACACAGTGCCTGGATATGGAAGCCATTATTATTATTTAAACCTTGTTTTGTCTATAGCCAAACAGTATTTGAGATAGCTCTATTGTTTTTATCCATTGCTGCTCCATGATTTTTTTTTTTCCTCAATTCTTTGCCTTTCATCCTATTAGGAGAATTTTCCACTCAAGCAAATGCCATGCTGAAAGGCGGTGTGGGGGAAGGAAAAATATGCTCCAGACTTCACTGGAAAATGGTCTAATTTCCCCCAAGGCTTACACGGGAGTGGCTTCCAACCCTTGGAGTCTTTCTACAATGGTGTTCTCAGGTAGGGAAGGGCCAAACATCTGAGTTTTTTTTAAGTTCTAGTGATCTTGTTAAGCTCCTCTGATGGAGAATACTGTTCTACACCCAATGGCTGCCTGCTGAGTTTCTCAATGCCAAATTCCCTCTTCCAAGTGTCATAAGGTATATATTTTCCTTACAGCTAAAGTGAATGAATACTGGGGCCGGCCCCGTGGGGTAGCCGTTAAGTGCGGGTGCTCCGCTGCTGGTGACCTGGGTTCGGATCCCAGGGGTGCTCTGATGCACCGCTTGTCAGGCCATGCTGTGGCGGCGTCCCATATAAAGTAGAGGAAGATGGGGACGGATGTTAGCCCAGGGCCAGTCTTCCTCAGCAAAAAGAGGAGGATTGGCATGGATGTTAGCTCAGGGCTGATCTTCTTCACACAAAAAAAATAAAGTGAATGAATACTAATACTTTTGAGAATTTAGAGATAACTAAAGGAAACCTCTAGAGATAACTCAAGAAAACACTGGGTGTCACAAATCCAAGAGTTAGAAAAAAATCAGTCTTAGGATATTTTCTAACTGTCAGACCCTAAAGGAAGCAACAGGAAGTGTTTAAAGAAAGAAGGGGTCCCTCACACTCATCTGTCCCCAAAAAGATTTGGTAAAATTTTCCACTAGTGGCTCAAGGTGGGTCTGGAAAACCACCTACCTGAAGAAACCACTTATGAGCAACTCCACTTCTTTGTGAGTCCTTAGGTACTTTTCGTTAGCAATCCGAGTCTGAATCTAGGGACAAGAGCAAAGGGTCACGCTCCATGAGGAGACGGATTTCAGGGTTCAAGCCTTGGAGGTGCGAAGGGCTGGGGGAAGCAACGTGCGCATTTAACCCACGTCTTTTCCCAGGATGTTTCAAAGTTGAAGCTGTCTGTCTTCTCACAGACCAAGAGCTCCCTGCTGCCTCCGGCTTAGGCGTATATAGGGGCCTAATTGAGGTCGGGTCCCCACCGTGGGAAGTTCTTGTTTGTATCTAAGTTAACGTATCCGGCATAATTGCGGTCTATTTCTCTGGCCAGATCCCTGTTTGGGTTCTTCCTGCACTTCTAGGCGCCTGTCGCGCTCTGTTCAGCGCCCCAAAAGCCCGGGGTCCGCCGGGGGTCTTCCCGAGCCTTTATCTGGGAAGAGGCTCCCGCGCCCTGTCTCTCGGGGGCCCTCCTCCTTGTCGGGGGCCTCATCCTGGGGGAGCTGCACTTTGATGGAGACGGGGCTGGGGGGCGCACGCACCTTGAAGTTGCGCAGCTGCTCCAGCTGCGCGGGGCTCAGCGCCCCGGGGTCGGACCGCAGAAGCCCGCCCTGCAGCGTCGCCATCTTGTCGCGGTCGTCAAGGCTACGGGTCGCGCGCGCCTGTGAGGCCCCGCCCCCAAGCCCGCCCCTCTCCAGCCCGGGGGAAGGGCAGAGGGAAGCCTTGTGGGCGCCGCTCTGAAGCTGAGGAGTAAACTCGGGAGGGTCTCTAAAGGATCTCTTTCCCCAGATCTGGGGACTGACTTCCCGGCTTGATTGTATATAGGATGAACCTTTCTTGACCCCAGCCAACCTCAAATAGTTTTTTTCTTAGCTCTAGCGCAAAACTGGAACAGGAATTCCTAAAGCCGAGTCTCCCAGAATCCGGTTCCTGACCCTCTCACTTGGCCGGAAGCTGGAGGAAGCCTAGTAGGCTGCTTCTCTTTTTGGCTGCCCGGAAGCCAAACCTCTCCACCTGTCTTGTAGACACTTGACATTGAAGTCGTAGATTCTCAAAACAAGAAAGCACTCTATAGGATGGAATGAACCAAGTTCTGCAAAGGAAGGAACGTTGTCAGACTAAAGATGCTGGAAAGGATCTGGGGGACATTCTACCAGAAGTTTCCCCTCTTGGACTGACTTTCTTGTGTAGATTAACTTGCTCCTCATAAGTTCAAAATTATTTCTCCCACTCCCAACTGAGTAGGGGAAAGGAGAGGCAGTTGGTCCTCAAGATATGTTCTTCTAGAATCTAATTAAGAAGGGAAAGTGAAACAAAGCCAGAGAGCTGGAAATAGCCGCCTGGAAAGGGCAGAAGCCTGTCTGTCAATACACGTGCTGAGTTTGTACACCCCTGGAGACCATGCCCAGCAGAGGCCTTCTGAGAGGCAGAGAAGAAGCCCAAAAGGGAGGCTGTCTTTTCAGATTTGTGAACAGCTGCCCAAGGAGCAAGGAGAGAGCCTGAGTAACAAGCCCAGCATTAGGCCATGGCCTTGGAGGGGTCTCTTGATGGTCTGCTTACATCCTTCTCAGCAAAGACTGAGGAAAAGAAGTGAAAATGTTGGCAGTTCCCAACCCAGTAAAAAACCACAAGAGGTAGATTACGCAGTGGGCTGCAAGCCTCTTCCCAGGAACCCCATCTGGCTAGTAATCATTTTGGTTGTTTGTTTTTAAGGAGAAAGAGTTAATAGAGTGAGAGGTAGATAAGCTGCCATCTGTCAGACGTGATTTTTTCAGGCAGGAGCAGAGGTTAATCAGAGGTGATAGTTCCTATTGGCCAAGACCTGTCTCTTCCCACCCCACCCATCCACCCCCCCAGAGAAGCTAGTGGTGGAACCTCTGTCTGCACCATCCAATATGGTCACCACCAGCCACCTGCGGGTATTGAACACTTGAAATGTTGCTGTGTCAGATGTGCTGTAAGTGTAAAATACACACTGGCTTTTGAAGACTTAATATAAAAAAATGTAAAATATCTCATTAATAATCTTTATATTGATTACATGTTGAATATTTTGGATATATCATATAAACAAGTTGAATAATATTTTGGATATACTGGTTAAATAAAACATTATTAAAAGTAATTTCACTGTTTCTTTTTACTTTTTTATGTGGTTACTAGAAATTTTTAAATTATATATATGGTTTGCATTATATTAAAGAGTGCTGATCTGGACTGGCAAATCTGCACATGCCACACACATGCATATGCGTGCACAGTTCTCTTTATCCCCCACCCGGTGCATAGGGTAATTGATGTCCTCCTCCTGCTAGTCTATGGTCTTCTTGTGCTTTCAGAATCAATCAAGCCTTTCTTGACTGATCACATCCCAAGGCCCAATTCCCAAATACCCGTGTGTGTAAATGAGAGAGGCTACTTTTATTTTCTTAACCACATCTCAGTCCTCACTCTTGCATATTGTGTTGGCCTGTCTTACCTCTCCACTTGAGGTAGAAGCCACTTGAGGGAAGGAAGGTTATACAGTCAGTTTTTTGTTCACTGTCATAGCTTCTGCTGCAGATGTCTTCACTGTTTTCACTTAGTGAGGCCAGCAAGTGTTTGGTGACTACCCACTCTGCCCACACATACCACCACTACATTTTGCCCTTTCTGAAAAACATCCCAATTATTCAGCATTTCTCATTTCCTAAGAATCTCAAACCAGGAGTAGAGCTCTCCCTTTATAAAGTCAATAATCTTTTTATGTAGGGAAGCTTAGCATTGAGTGCAGAGGGATAAGAAAGAAGGTGAGTTTCGTGCTGGTGCACAGAGAGAGTGCCTTGGAGGAACTATGGCTTGGAAGCCTCATTTCCTCCTGGAGAGCAACTCCCCAGAACGGCCTCTGAGTCATAGCATTTTCCCCCCAGTCTTTACTTCACATGGCTCCCCTCCCCCACAGCCTGAAGGAAAACAGAGATGAGCCCCCAGTCACCTAGCAAGGAGAGCCTGATGAGAACTCCTACCTCTTCTCCTCTCAGACTGAAACCTTCCATCGGGGACCACAAACTAAGCGAAGGATTGGAGGTGTTTTGCTGCCTGCAGCTCTCTCTCCAATTGCTGACTGGGAGGTGGAGTGAGGGGAGTTCATTATAATTCATTTTTGTGAATGTTTAATATTTCAATTAATATGATTAGCCACAAGACTGAATGAGCAGCAGGGCGGCAGATCTGCTGACAAGACACGGAGTAATGAGATCAACAGGGCTGTGGGGTCTTCCTAGGCTCCATCCTCAGAGGGCATGATCTGTTTAGCATCTCCATAAATACCAAGATCAGATTAGAAGGCAAGAAAAGGAGCAGTGGGGGTGGGGAAGCGAGTGGAAAGTTACTTTCCAGATGTGTCTGCACTCTTGATTCCCTGGCACTGCCATCATATTCTGACCACCCAGCACTGGGTCCTCTACCATCTCCCCCCACTCCCCCCATCTTAGGGGACCCTACTGCGAGGACCTGGGCATCCATATGATGAAGTGTCTATACACACACACACATACACACACACACACACACACACACACACACACGCTCAAAGACACACACCTGCCAGAATGTGGCTTCAGGCTACAGAAACGCAGCTAAAGGAAGACGGAAGGTGGTCAGTGGAGAATCAAGCAGTGTAAAGGACATCTCTCTCCCAGGGCCCAAATAAAGACGCGGGAAGAAAGGCCAGGCTTAACCACTCCCTCCATTCCCACGAGGAGCATTTGATGTGGGAGTTAACCATGTGAACTCAGGAGCCAGACTGCCGGTGCTCCACTCTCAGCTAGACCTCTTTCTAGCTGCGTGACCTTAGGCAAGTCATTTAATCTCTCTGTGCCTTGGTTCCCTCATCTTTATCCGGAGACAGTGATGGAACTCACATGATAGGGTGGTGCTGAGGGTTAAACAAGTTAGTAAACAGAAGGCACTTGGAACAGTGCCTGAGACACGGTAAGTGCCATCTAAGTGCTATCACTATTACTTCCCTTCCAGAAGAGAAGTAATAGTGCCTGCCCTGATAGCTGAGGAATGGGAGCTGCAGGGATTCAGTTGGGACATATTTCAGAGATGCCAGTGCCACTGTGGAGACATCAGCCCCACTCTAGGGTGGAGAAGAGAATGACAGGTGGCAGGGTGTTCCACAAAAGCCAAAAGCTGTGAGCCCTGTCAGTGGGTCAGTGAGCTCCTGAGGGCAGGCAGGGGCTGCCCATCCAGGAGGTATGATGTCAGCAGGTACTCCCTGCATGGAGGGGACTGTGAGTGGGCCCAGTGCATGAAAGGGTCAAGCTCCCTCGAGATTATGGAGCAAACTCATCATCCAGAGAAGTACAGTTGTTTAGGGGAGTAATGGCCCCCAAATGTGATTCCTCCACCCCTCTTTGCTATTTGACTCAATTAGAGAGTCCCACTCAAGGAACCTAACGGGGGTGGGGGGTACAAAAGGAGGAGTAATTGGGTCTCCTCTGCCCTGAAGGGAAGCTTGACAGCTGTGGTTCTTCTCATTGAAGGAATCAGGAATCTACTCTTGTCAGAGGTTCTTTGCATCAGCTGTGTATTTGAGAAATATTTGTTAAGCACCTACCACGTATGAGCAAGACACTGCGCTAGACACTGTGAACAGTAAAATGCTGAATTAAATGAAGTCCTGGTCTTCAAGGAGCTCACAAGTGAGAGCTCCCTCCCTCCCCACCCCACCGAGTCTCCCTGCCCACGCACTTAAACACACAAACCCCCCAGAGGGAGAGAAGGGAGCGTCGGCAAATGCCAGCAAGATATAGTTTCTCTTGGTTCCTTTTCTGGAAAATCCACGGTTCCCTCTCTGCACTCATCTCACCCCGCTCTCCTCTTTCCATCTTTCCTCTCTGGGTCCCTTCTGCCCTTTCTCCCCAGGCTCTGTGCCCCGCTTCCGTCCCCAGCTACACCTCCCTCCCCCCCTAACCTGCCCAGCTGTTCCTATGCCATTTTCTTTTCCTTGGTTTCTTTCCTTGGCTCCCCATTTTCAGTCTCCCCAGATGCCGGCTCCCCTCTCCTCCTCCCCCCTGCTCCCCTCTCCTGTGTCTTCTCTTCCAGGACCGGGGACAGCTCCAGCCCCCGGAACAATGGACCCCACCTTAGGGCTCCTCTATAAATTCTCCATCTTAGTGCCTTGCCCAACTCGTGATTGGGGAGTAAGATGGGGGAAGGGTTATTATCAACAGGACCAGCTTCTCTTCTGGGGGTGGGAAGGGAGTCAGGGAGGGAAGAGATAGAAAGAGGGCGTGGCTCTTGTCTGGATTGTGCGTCCCTCTCCAGGGTAGAGAATTTGTATTCCACCCCTGAGACTGACATCACTGATGTCAGGGGAAAGGAGGTGGGAGTGGGGAGGGGGGTGTGGAGGGGGGAGGTTTTTGTTGAGGAGAGCGCGGCCAGAGAGCAGAGCTCCGGGACCCAGGTGACCGGGAAAGCAGGCAGCCCCAGCGGCGGGAGCAGCCAGCAGCAGCCCAGACCCGGGGACGGGGGTGGGGGTGGGAGGGGGGCTGAGGGGAGGACCTGAAGGGGGGCGTCAGGGCAAAAGGGACCCCTGGAGCCCTGCCGCCTTCAGAGATCAAGCATCTGGCATCAGGGATCTTCGGACCCAGC